AATCTCTGCCTCCCGGTTTCAAGCAATTCTCCTGCCTTAGCCTCCCGAGTTGCTGGGATTACAGGCATGTGCCACCACGCCCGGCTAATTTTGTATTTTTAGTAGAGATGGGGTTTCTCCATGTTAGTCAGGCTGGTCTTGAACTCCCGACCTCAGGTGATCTGCCCACCTCAGCCTCCCAAAATGCTGGGATTATAGGTGTGAGCCACTGTGCCCAGCCCAAACTTATTTTTGTTTTCACTAGTTCAAATCAGTAATGTAAAACATTTAGAATCTCCCTTTTTTTTTTGAGACGGAGACTCACTCTTGTTGCTCAGGCTGGAGTGCAAAGTGCTGGGACTACAGGCATGAGCCACCACACCCAGCCTAGAGAATCTCTTTATTACCATCTCACTACCAAGTCAATACCAGGCAATAAGAAATGTAAAACAAGTGTCTGTGACACATGGGTCCAGAGCCTGCCAGTCAGCAATATCTATCTGTTGCTTATATTCATAGGGTTTTTTTCTAATGGGTCCTTTCATGTATTTGAAGGTGTGAGGTAGATCGGAAGGCTTTTTCACGTTTCTTACATTCATAAGGCTTCTTGCCAGTGTGACTCCTTTTCATGTCTAGGAAAGGATCTGGTACTATGGAAAGCTTTCCATACATGTTACATTCATACAGGCTGTCCCCTGTGTGAGGTCTCTTGTGTACTTGAAAGGAAATGGGATGGGTGAAGGCTTTACCACACTGCTGACATTCATATCGCTTCTCCCCATGGACAGTGTTGAAGAAATTAAAAGCAGCAACCGGACTGAAGTATTTCTAGTGCACCTAGGTTCTACCTAAGGAACCGAACTACAACTAAAATGCAATTCTAAATTTTTCTGAAAACCACAAACCATGACTGGGTGATTCTCATACATAAATCACCATATGCAATAAATAAATAAATAAAATAAAAATAAAATAAATAAAAATAAAAAAATAAATCACCATATGCTCAAACTCTAATTTTTAACTGCCCCAGGTTTTACCTATATATTATAAAGGACATTACAAAGGATATAGATGAACAGCCAGATGATAAGAATGATAGAACAAGATGTGGGGTGGGGGATACAGAGCCTCCCTGCTCTCTCTGGGTGCCCCACCATCCCAGCATCACCATGTGTTCAGCAACCCAGAAGCTCCTCAGTTTTTTAACAGGAATAAAACGTACTGGGGACCCCAAGGACCGCAGCTCCTACCACACGAACCCCAGACAAGGCAGGACTCTCATGTCACATGTGACCCTGGTACAATCTGGGCACAGAGCTGCCCAGAGAGGGCTCTGGGGCCACAGTCACCAGGCAGGGACAGGACAGGATGCCAGGGGTCGCGGCTGCTGGCCCAATCCCATCCTGCAGACAAGGGACTGAGGGCCAGGAGAACTTGGGTCCCAAACCCTAAAGTCGCATGCAGGGAGCCTGGGGTCCCACCACTGCCGGTTCTGGCCATTTCCAACCAGCCCCTGCCCGGTCTCGGGTCGCTGGCCCCGAACACTCACCATTTCCCAGCTTTCAGTTGTCCTGGCTTCTTCTGTAGGGCTCCTGTGACTAGTGCAGGTCACAGCGCAGGCAACAGTTGTGGTGGAGGGACCTGGTCCCTCTCACAGCTGGAAAGACCGGATCCCAACCTCAGTGGGCACTGTCACCAAGGTAAGAGCGAGAATGCATCCCCACCTTCCCAGGATGTACAGTTGGCAGGGCCCACCCCAGCATTCCTGACTAGATAGGGGTCCAGGCCCCATCCCCTCACCCCGGAGTGACAGTAGAAGCCCTAGGTAACCCGACCTGCAGAGCTCCCTCCCTACAACTTGGTTGTTGGATATTTTCATTTTAGTGAAATTTGCTCCTGATTTTTTGACAGGTTATTATCTTCTTCATCATTCAAAGGGCTGTTCCTGCTCCTTTGTTCTGCATTGGGGTTTCAAATGTGTGTTGGGAATTCCAGACTCTGTGCAGTGGAGCAATCTCATCACCTCAGAGCCAGAGGGGAACCAAGACCAGACCAGGCATGACTGGATCGGGGGGAGAGGCAGGTGTCCTTCAGAAAGTGGCAACCAGGGATGAGACATGGCCAAGGCCTTCTCCCAGACCCCCAATCCCCTCCTTCCAGACCTTCACATTCACCAACCAGAAACTCTTACCAGGTGACAGTCTAAGCTTCTGAGCTAAACAGACAACTTCATAAACGGTTTTTCCAGGTGAGGTCCCAAACAATTGTCTCTAAACCTGACCTTTACAGGTTTCCTTCATATATACAGATTACTGTCTGACGCCAGTGACCCTATGCATGTCAAAAACCAAAACACTGTCCCGGAATATGGCCCCAGGCTCCAGAAGTCCAACCACAGAAAGGACAGCACCCCTCAAGGGCATCTGCACATGAGTCTCCTGCTTTCCAGGGCTCTGCAGATTATCAGAATCCAAACTGCTTCTGGAGCAGCTTTGAGCAGCTGGAGGCCACTTGCAGAAGAGGTTGGGCCACCCAGGAAGCACCCAAGGGAGCTCCACTTCCCTCCCTGAGGCCTCCAAACTGGCCTAAGAGTGATCACTGCCCTCAGCCTCTGCCGCCCCCTACAGGTTATTTGCAGCGTTACCTGCAGAGAGGGACTGTGGATACAACTACGTGGGAGGCCAAGTACCACAGCTCAAGCCTGTAGTCCAGGACTGTAGGATGGCAAGGTGGGAGGAGTACTAGCAACCCAGAGCTCAAGACCATCCTGGACAAGGCAAAACTCTGTCTTTACTAAAAATACAAACATAGCCGGGCGCGGTGGCTCAAGCCTGTAATCCCAGCACTTTGGGAGGCCGAGGCGGGTGGATCACGAGGTCAAGAGATCGAGACCATCCTGGTCAACATG